AGAATGACAAGCCTTCTGTTATGAAGGCACAGCATGGTCAAAGAAGAATAGCTATGATTTTGGAAACTGATCTATTCACCGGCACGAACGATCCGGAAAAAAACCATGTACTCGTGAAATGCGAATGATCTCTTGCGAGTATAACATTATTAAAGCAGTCGTTCCTGTGTGAAAAACATCTGGTGCCTATTGAAGCGTATATAATGACAACTGCAGTTGCACTGGAGACGGACAGACACGTCTAATGTTTCATAAGAGAGACGTCAAACCTGCTTAACTATCGATAGCAGTATGCAATAAGCATATAATGCTGGACAATTGTATTACTGAAATATTCCCTTTGGTCTGTTTTTGAAAGTTCCAAATACTTGAAACTCGGCATGTACACAAATGCCGCATTCTGAACGAAAAAAAGCATCAAAAGTCATTCATGTGCTGATTTTGGTTCCTGCATGTCCCAACGAAACATTTATAAATTTACTTCAGGAATTAACACTCGTGCAAGGCGGTTCGTTGTCAGCAAAGACGTCGCGGTTGGACCCTTTTACCAGAAGCAGCAAAGTGCAGGCTTTAACGTCCGCGACATGAGTTATGGACAGAGCTCATCAACCTGCATAGTTGGCTTCTGCGCAAAGAAAGGAGTTCAGGTATCACCGTTTGGAAACAGCGCCGTCCCGAATGCCATGCCAGTCCCTTATCCGCCAACATTTCCAAGAAAACCATATATGTAAAATTACTCGTTTACAAAACCTTAACTTAAAATTTGTGAAATAGAACGTTTCTAAACCTGAGGCATATTTTTCAACACACTGGACGAAAACAATGAATTCTAAAAATCATTTAAATCGCTTCAAATTATTAGATTTAAAGTTTAATCTGACCTCAAGTAGGCAAATATATGCAAAATGTTAAAAATACTGCTGAAAAGAAATGATGGAATATTGGACAGAAAGGAGGTTATATCGAGAATTCAGTAGTTCAACTGCCCTACTACGTAGACTCGAGTACTATTATAAATTTCCTCAGGATAGAAGTAACGTGCTAAAATGTCGAAAGCAATTAATGTCGATATGGTCTTCAATGAATTAGAACAAAGCCTCGTATCAAGTATTTCACACCATAACATTTTAGTAAAATGCCACAAATTTTGCGAAGCAGGAAAACCGTTCAAGAATCTTAAGACAGCCTTACCCAAAACATCACATTTTCATAAAATTCTAGAACGAAGATCAAATTTTTGGACTGCGGAAAGGGATGAACACTCTGGGAAAAATAACGTTCATTAAATCTGCAAACAAGACCTAGAGGGTCAGGCTGCACTGTAAAAAATTAACTATGCACAACAAGCCACTTACATGAAACAGATAAACGTCACAAAACTTTTGACAAAACCTGCCACATTAACATTTGCAAATATCTTCGCCAATCGTTCGATGCAGTTCCACGCTCCTGGAATTATATGACAACGAAGATCTCAATAGGATTTAGTCTTATTCAGTATACACTGAACGAATAACAAAAATTACTTCAGAGTAAAATAAATTAGGAAAGGGCAGCAGCGGCTGATCACCTTTTGGTTTCCAGAGCAAGATGCCTCAGCCAAGTTTAAAGTGCATCGGCCACTGGGATGACCAAGCAGCCTTTCTAATGTTGCACTGATAGTGAGTAATAAAGCCAAAACGTTGCCAGAGAAAATGACAGTTGTATAAACGTCACAATCTTAATGGTTTTCAATCTCACGAAACAACATTAGAACCATATGAGACGATCGAATAATTATTAAAAGGAAAACACTGCTAATCGATGAAAGGTTTCCAACACGTATTCGCAAGAACAAAAACTCAACTTCGAAACAAGTTCGGAAAAAACCACTCACTCGCACAAAAATAACGAATAAATTACAAGGCTAGCCCGTCAAGGCAGCGCCTGAGACAAAAGCAAAACCATTCACGCCATCACAGTTTACTACGCAGGATCTTTCCCACTCGAGAAGTATCTTCGAAGAGACTTCGAACCATGAACACCTAAACATTGCTTAACTTATCAACAATTACCCGCAGAGACTTCCGGTACAAACCTGTAAACAAGCGACCATGATCAACACGCTCAAATTCACGATCGACCAGAAATTAACACGGCTCAAATTTGCTTCCATTATCGAGCGGTCACGAGCCTCATAGCCACGCAAGAGAGCCTGATGTACTTCTATCTTGTTGAAAGAAGTCTTGATTTTGGCCATAGTACCCTAGAAGTAGAAGTAATCACAAATAAGAAACATATGATGATGAAAGGAGCAGGGCAAAGAGTAGGATCGTTTCCAAAATTAATTAGCATCCCGTATAAGCGTCGTATGTATGAAACGTTATGGTCGATCAAATTTTAAGATCTATGGTAAAGATTGGCATATTTGTTCTAAGCCAGTCTCTCCATCCCTTACAATAGGCTATTTCAAAATGCACTTCGATGCATCATTTCACAAGGTCTTTATCTTAACTGAGGATTCAAGCATACAGAAAACTGTGATCAACAAACTAGTTCAAACTTGCGAAACGAAAATGGCGTAATCTTCTCGAATCGATTCTCTCATATTAAACTATACATTAAAATATTTATCTACATTAACATTCTATCCGCCAATCCGTTTCGTCTTTACCATTATTCATTGCCTCATTACTTTGCATTTTGTTCGTTCTTATGCAATATTGTTATAACAATGGATTGGTTGATCGCCGAAATGGAAGAAGGCGCTAGATTCACGTGCTTTTCCTCTAATTTAAATAATAAACTCTTGAAAACTGCATAAAACAAGGTTTATTCATAAATAACGCAAGAAAATTGGTCAATCGGATGGTCGGAGATAGGGTTAATTAGTAACGTCATCTATTCCTCTAAAACGCAGTAATTTCAAAAAATTTACCAAAATCTGCTGCGATTGATTGCAAGAATGCAAGAATTCTGAAAGTTTACAAAAACATAACGCCACACATCAAATTTCCTGGAATGATAAACACGTAACCAATGTTTCAGATGTACTCTCGTATCCAGAAAGCATAAGAAGGCAACTGATTGGAAGATGTGTGATGCAAATCATCTGGTTATATGACCAACAAAGCTTGAATTTATCATCAACAAACTCAGAGGAAAGTTTAGTCGTTATAAAGTGTTAGCCTTGTTTCATGTGCTATACCTTATTTATAATAATTCACAAGGCTGAGTAACCTGAAGACTCCGGCATGAGAGCAGTGACAACTGATCGTTCGTTATTTATACCAGAAACAGGAACCGCTAATTCAATGCTGGCAATGGTTTTTTTAATCCGTGGCGATAAACCTAAATTTCCGCCAACCGCACACTTACAGCAATATCTTCGACGGTGCTGCCAAACTTCTCGACCATTTCGACCTGCGATTGTGACAGCTTCTTGTAATCAAGCACTTCGGTGCTTCCTTGAGCATCATAAAGAAAGATCTGAAAAAAAACTGTCTTTGATGCCTGGTAACTGAACGAATTGTCGAAACACAGTTGGTAATCCCCTCTAGCGGTTGTCACGTTAATCCTAAAAGGACGACATCATACAAAAACATACGGCAAATACGTGTCATCCACGCGTTACCTATGTTCTCTATCCGAAACACGATTGTCCTGTATGATGACATTACCCCTTGGGTCGGTCAGAATAAAGTTGGTATCTAAATCACCACCATCCAGCACCTTAAACGACAAACGATGTCCACTAAACGAACCTGGCTATCTGTCTGTATGTGTCAAACCTGGTAAAAAAGCTCCATTTCGACGATTCGTTCATCCACCACAGGCTGAAAGTAGCAATGCAGCTTCGATGGAGGGATTACCACTGTAAGGTCAGACTCGAACGCCGTGCAGAAGCAAATAACCACCAGAAGCTCCAAGTACAAAAGCACGTTTTTCGACAGCATTCTAAATCGGTAATGCTGAAAACAGAAAAGACCGAACATCAAAAATGCATAATGTATCGCCACACTCACAAATTTACTAATTTACAGCCTCCAAATAACAGTTATTAGATTTTTATGACTATAAAAAATCAGGTCACAGGGCTGAAATATGCATCCTTGCAATCTAACATTGATTCCATGTTGTCAGACGTTAGACATACACTAATTTTCGCTGTAATGTTTCCTTTAGAGTGGAAAGGACATTCTACACATTTCTATCGTCTCCTAAGGATAGTGAGGAATAAAAGAGCATGTTTAGTCCATTGGTTAGAATGTACTGCAAAGTGCACGGTAAACCGAACTGTATAAAAACCATTCAATAATACACAACAAAAAATCAATCAGATGACCGACACCACAGAAGTTTCGGCGGTCTGGTGAAGATGCTGCCATTTCCAACAGCTGACTTGCGTCGAGCCGTAAGGCGAGCTTTCAGTCTGTGCTGCTCTAGTAGACTATAAGTTTCTCAGTGCCATGTCGAGTAGGCCAGTTTAATTCGCACTGAGTTTGTAAAATTCATTCCATGACTACACCGCATGACTATTACTTCTGTGACGCGCCATTTGAGCCAACTTCCGCCGTGACGAAGCCGATGCAGTCAGACTGTCTGTACAGAGAAACGAGAAGAAGGTGTCTAGCCCTTCCTGTGTCACGTGCTGCACAACTTATGAGCCATTTTCACACTGGAGCATGACTCAGTTGGGGCTCTGATTCCTTCCGATATGCTTCTTCCGAAGACAACAGTACGTCTAATTCCTTTGGCCATATTTTCCATACTAGTTGCCCGTGGACTCAACTCTTGCAACAGCACTACAGATCAGCGAGCTTAAATACTGATTCATGGACTCGGATGCCCCACTATAACTTCATAATATTCTGTAGACCATCCCACCTTTCCGAACGTAAAATACGTCACTGCGACCAGGAAACGATAATGATGCAGGTATTCGTTCTTCCCAAAGCTAATTGCCCCCAACTAATTCTTCACGTATAGAAAAAACGAAACTATCATGTTTTTAGAGATGATCACTTCCTACATAGTAGTTTACATCGGAAAGGATTAACAGCTAATGCTATCGCAATATTTTCAATAAACTTTGGAAAGATCCAATAATTTCTGCACATCAACTGCACAGAGACATTACATCGATCATTTGACACCAATTTTAACAATGACCAAGAGATTCAACTGCTGGAGACAAACATCCAGCATTTTTTCATCGTCGACGATCTCCGTCATCATTTTCCACTATTACTGTTCAGATTCAAATTTATTAGCTGTAACAGATGAGTAATCTTCCCTGCTTTTTGGCGAATTCTCTGCAACGGCTACATCAGTTCTACAAAAATAAAGAAACAAAAAAGTTTTGGGCACTACAACTACATACGGCTTCGAAGATATAGTTACGCAACTTATTCATGTCCAACGAAATACGTAATAAATGGAGGGGTTACTAAACATCTGTATTTTTCGGTTCTGGTGGGGAGGGAAAACGAGAGTTGCTCTCCTCTTCTGACTGATGTCAGTGCTATAAGGGCGAGCAAAGTAAGCGAGGATTATGCCAGAAAGACGATGGGTTAGCTTGGAAGGCACCTTTGACTATTGTCACAATGGAAATCAAAGCCAGTGGTCCCTCTATACATACAGATAACGCGTTGCAGAGCGATCGAAACTCCAGGACTTCGAAAGCCGAAATATACTGGAGTGGTGCATGTCAGTACTGAGATTTCGCAGCTGTATGCAAACTCCCCACATTGAGAATATCAGTCAGGCGGAGCTGCAGTCATACGATGCATTGACATTGACACGATTTTTCGTTTTGATTGTTGAGACTGAACTTTGTTCGTGTCGGGTCAGCCGCTGGTTAATCTATATGCCCAGATGGACAGCTCATGTTGTCATAAGAGCTGAGCTGGTAATAGGGAACCTTCGAGATGCTAAATTGATCAACAACTACGATCTGCCTTTTGTTGGCATAAACAATTTCGAAGCCCTTCCATTTCATGATCTTGTTCGAACTCCCTTTCAAGGCATCTGGTATCATTAAGTTTCATGTCGTTTTGATCATACCGGCGCTACGTTGCCGATATTAGGGACACACTGTCTGAGCTTAACTGAGTCATTTATCAGTGCCATTAGAACAGTATCATCAACGTAATTCAGACAGAGGCGTAGTCCCTAAGCAATCGTTAGTATACGGTAAAACTAGAAGCGATATGAATGAATCTTGAAGCACTTGTCAGTTGTCTGACAATTCGGATGGGTGATGCTTTCCTGCTCCTACTAGTAGAACCGGTTCGACTTGGAGAGATGTAATGAACTATCTTTGCTGCTGGATATGGTGTCAGAGGCTCATGAACAGTTCAGAAACAATCTATTTGCCCTGATCAAGTGGTTGGGCAACATCGTACACTACGCAGCCTAAGGCATCAATCGTACCAAA